AAATGTTAAAAATCAAGGAAAAACACAGTGAAACTTTGAAGAATCGAAAAAATAACTTGATGTGCACCATAGCACCATCAATTTCTGTCTCTGTACCAACTCTGAACTTAATTGGATCACACATGTGTGAGAAAAATCTGGTAACATGAAAATGTGCACGCACATTGCACAGACACAACCCAAATTAATATCCCCCGCCCGGATCGCAGATCCGGCGGGGGCTAAAAATGTATGTACAAGGGATGTAATGGGTTTAAAAACTAAACTCTGTGACGCGATTGTGCGACTCACCGAATGTCGATTATTGCTCTCTGCAAAGAGAATGATTCCCATTTGGTTAATCCCAATGGTTGGTCGTTGCCCATACTACTTACTATTTACAGTGTAAGGGTTCACCACATGCCTTATAGAAAAATTAAGTTTTAAATGGCTATTTCTCTGACTGCTCGTTCTACAACAAATGTTGTACGTCAGCTTTGACTTTGTTGTGTGTATTGTTAATTATAGTCTCCAATAAAATGCAAAAATATTAACAATTCAATTAAAACGTTTACTGTTTATGGCTATGCTTTATCGATGTTAAGTATCAATTTGTTATAACTACGTTCATTACTTTGAGCTCCAAACAAAGCCTGTAGCAGGTCAAACTGTTTCCAGGCAATCAATCAAACGTAAAGCTGTGTAACTGGAATGAAACCACTGCTTAGGATAGACAACTAAAAGGGCAGTGTCAACGGAAAACAAGCCATGCATGGCACAGTCCCCAATAGTTATCGAATTTAAGATATATAGTTTTGTTTATAGTAATATAGCTGGAATATAAACATGTCAGGAATATGATTATGATGATTATTTGATCCGGTTCCGGAATTGTGAAAATAAGTGATTTTGATGCATTTTCGGCCTTAAAATGGCCATCATTCAGCTATTGTTAAGCGGATCATGAAACAAATGCACATATCTATTTGTGACATGATGTACCTTGTGTGTGAAGTTTGAACTCTATCAATCCAGACATGTCTCAGATACGGATCCAGAACTGAATTCTTTAAAACAAAATGGCCGCCAGTCGGCCATTTAAAACCCAAATCCAAAAAAAAAAATGACGTGCATTAAATTCTTATGTTTAATGTATGTACCAAATTTGAACAAAATCCGTCCATGCATAACTGAGATCTGGGTCCGGAATGGTGAAAATGTGTGATTTTGATGCATTTTCGGCCTTAAAATGGCAAAATCCATCTGTAAACAGCCGAGAAATGCTTGATTTTGATGATTTTTAGAACAAAAATGGCTGCCATTCGGCCATCTTGAATCAGATCATGAAACAAATTATATGCATATGTACAATATCATGTATGATGTATGTGTTAAGTTTGATTGTGATTGGTCCCAGGCATTTCTAAGATACAGGTCCGGACACACGTACACACGGAAGTGAGGACACACGGTCGGACATAAGTCAAACATCAGTACTCGTTTTCGGACTTCGTCCGAACTGGGACTAATTAGATGGGTGCACATTCTCTGCATAAATGGAAACAATGGCTTTGTTTATTTGCCTGATGTCAACAAGCAACAGATTTCCTGTACTCACTTTCTCATCTGATGTATCAGTGTTGTCATCATTTTTCCAGGATATTACGGAGACAATACTATTGTGATGCATAATACACTTTGACATAGTCTATTAACAATATTTTATTTTTATTATGACACCTGTGAGTCGAATTTTACCTCGACGAGTCAAGATTATAAACAGCTGATCGGTAATTTGCGTACATGTGCATACAAGTTCCACCCACTGTTGACTTTATAAACATAGCGGTAATCAGCAGCTTGGCTCACAAAGACAGTTTCGCCAACTCCGGAACAACTCCGGTCTGGCACATTCAAAGCGTGTCGTGTGGATTTATTGTTTCGAGAAGAAATCAAGTCATTGAAAATGACACAGTCCCCGTTAAATTTTTGAAAGTTCTCTTTGTGCTCGTCATATTAAAATGGAGGGGTTGTTGCAAGCGTGTCCTTGAAACTTGAGTCCAATGTGTCGTATACAACAGATTGTTTATTTACATCAAATTCGAACACGTGTTGCGTGACGACCCCTCCGGTTTAAGACATAGCAAAGAAAAACATAGATCACAAGTAAAAGCATGTCCAAGTTATCACATTTCAAACAAACAAGATGGCCACCAGTCGGCCATATTTTGATTAAATTGCAAATTGAATTGACATGTACATGTATCCATTTATGACATTCTAAATATCAATGAAAATGATACATGGGTGACAGAGATATAGTAATATGGCCAAAAATAAAAACAGCCGTAATTCGGCCATCTTTGATCTGATTAAGAAACAAAGTGACATGAACATGTATTCTAACATGTATAAAGTATATGCCAAATTTGAATGAAAACTGACAAAGCATGTCCAAGATACCACATTTAAAAAAACAAACAAGATGCCTGATAGTCGGCCATCTTTGATCGGATTGCAAAAGAAATTGTCATGGACATGTATCCTAACATGTATAAACTATGTACCAAATTTGAATGAAAACTGACAAAGCATGTCCAAAATACAACATTTTCAAAAAACAAGATGGCTGCAAGTCGGCTATTTCGAATCAAATCGCTAAACCACTGCTTGTGCACATGTCCCACATAAAGTACTAGGCACATGCAAAGAATGAACGAAATTGGTCCAAAAGATTCTGAAATATGACTCTGCACGGATGCACGGACGGACGGACGGATGCACGGACGCACACACAGACAGTCAGAGGAAATGTATCCTAACATGTATAATCTATGTACCAAATTTTAATGAAAACCGACAAAGCATGTTCAAAATAGAAAATTTCCAAAAAACAAGATGGCTGCCAGTCGGCCATTTTCAATCAAATTGCTAAACCACTGCATGTGCACATGTCTCACATAAAGTACTAGGAACATGCAAAGAATGAAAGGGGACTAAAAAGTAACTGCATTGTCAATCAGCAATAGCGTTAATTACGGGTCAATTTAAAAGTGTGAAACTTTTAGAAGGCATTGTGAAAAAACTATTCAAGTCAAACTTCCATTCGATAAACCTATATGTTCGGAAGTTAAATGTAGTGTAGTTTTAAACACAATTTAACCAATAACGGACATTTTTAACCCATTTTCGATACAATTAGCGACCACAAAAAAATGCATCATACTATTAAAAAGCTGGCAAAATAGGCTTTCAAATGGTAACATGACAAAATTAACGTATTTGTTAGTAGTGTAATTTATTGTTTAAAATTCCTATAAATCATAGGCACCTTAAGGTCAAAATGAATCATCAAAATTTGGCTTTCATTAAAAAAAAATAAACCATAATATTCAATAATACTGACTTTGAAAAATATGATACAAAAATAATTACATTTATAACACAAACCAACGCCGTTTTTGTTTCATGTCCTCTTATGATCTATGATCTAAATGAAGGCAGACGCTTGCTAATAATTACTGCTATCATGGCAAAACGTTGCACGTCGCAAATGAACGTAGTTCACCCAGACTTTCACGATCATGTAATGGCCATTTAAAACTTAATTCTTTTAAAGGCATGTGGTGAACCCTTACACTGTAAGTAAGAAGTAATATGGGGCATATATTGGGATTAACGCTTTTTGACCAACCAACCAATGGGAATCGTGCTATTCGCAGAGTGACACTGCAACCTTATGCAATAATCAACATTGCAGAGTTAGTTTTTAGATCCTTACATGTACATCCTTACATGTACATCCCGAGATGCATCATGTACGAGTGAAGTTTGAATGTGATCAAACCAGTCATGTTCAAGATACACATGAACGATACATGAACGAATACACAGATCAAAGCAATTCATAGAACTAAGACTAAATAACACCAGTGGTCCTACATGTACATGCAACCTTGTTATGATGCAGAATAAAAATGGTTAATTAGAAAGCAAATTAGCAAATCATTAATTAATTACATGTGTTATACATACTGTAAAATTTATAGTGTTAGGAATGATAGTTGCTACATATATACAGACAGACAGACAGACATGTAAATGATACATTTTTCTTAGTTGAAACATGGAGGTAAAAAGGGAGTCGCAGCCAAAATAATCCTCCTTAACTTCTTTTGTTTTAGTCAAGTTTAATCCCATAATTCCCTTAGTCTTATCGTCCTTTCACCCCAGGATAGTCTTTGACGCGTCATTTTCTCTCAAGTGTTGCTGCATACAGTACACACTCCAAGGTCTTGTTTTACGATGTTGCAGTAAATACCAAATGACATAAAGCATGCGCAGATCTTTTATACTTACAGGAATTGTGTTTGTGAAAATGGGAAAGTTGGAATTTTAAAAATCAGAAAATTTCTTGTTAAGTTCATGTCATTTTTCGTCTGTTAGCTTATTTTCCTTTGTATTTTTTAATCTGCAATATTGTAATGTTGCGAAATCTTGCTAGTACTGTTTTTTAGTCCAAAAAAAAAAGCTTGTTTAATTATCTTTGCAAATAAACTCCCTGATCTACGTACAAACAGTGGCAACCATTCTGGTACATTTGATCTAACCTTGGCTGTGACTCCTTCTCTTTTTACCTCCATGGTTGAAAAGAAGAAAAAAATATTTACTCTAGTGTTTCAGCATCTCCATCAGTTCCTTGCGCTAAAGCTGATTGCTCTTCAACTGTTGAAGCATCTGCTGAAGCATCCATACTACACAGCAACAAATTATTTGACATGGAACAACAATAATTATTTTTGTTATTAAACAAATTTTCTGTACATACGCGATGCGCAGCATTTATACTAGTTTGTGTCTTAGTACATACTTCATAGACAAAATACAATGTATACTCCTACCATGTTAGGAGTAAACTATTAACCTACATTCACTGATTCTTCATCAGTTGTGTGGGATTCCCCATAATTTTAATAATAATAATAATAATAATTTCATTTATTACACCATAATGAAAGTTAACAAATCATTTTAGACTGTTATGTAATAAATTTAAAAGTTAAAGAAAATTAAGATAAATGCAGTTTAAAATGGCTAATTAGCCTGAGATAGTGTGGTGATATACAGTTACGTATGATAAGTACATGTCTATGTGTCATGTTTCTTGAAACAAAGTTTTAAGTATTTAGTCACATGCTTGATTAATTTATGTTTTTTTGTATTAATATTAGTTTTGAATTTGTATATATTGTTCTCTGATTGAAAAGTGGAGAGTACATTTGTGAATTCTGTATAAAGTATTTCTCTTTCAGTATTATAAAAATCACACCTTGTTACAAAATGTATTTCATCTTCAATTTCTGATGAAGTGCATTTTTTACAGATTCTTTTTTCTGCTGCTATTTTTGGCCTTTTATGTCTGTCAACTTCAATTTGAAGTTTATGGCAGCTCAATCTCAAGTGTGACATTACTTTGATGTCTTCTCTATTATGTAATAAATGCAGATAGGGTGACGTACTGATATCATTTTTAAGGAGGCTGTATGTTCTGGGCTTAGAATCTGTTCTATTATATCACTAATCCATGAATCTGTGTAGTGGGGTTCTTAGTTTTCTCTAAGATGATATTTTTGATATGGTAATGGAGTTTATATATTGTAAATGTTC